GAGGAGGGAGGGAGATGCAACATTCAAAGGACTGGCGGAGAGCGGGGGGAGAAGCCTGTCCACGCCGGCAGTGGCAGAGGCAGCGGCCCTTCTCATTCACACCTCCCGCCATCATTGTACTGTATTCTTATCGCATAAATTTGACTTCAAGGAAGACATATCCGCCTTCCACTTTTTAATGGCTCTTCTGTCATTCCAAGCTCTGTGAGGGGCACAAATTCAAATTTCCCCCCTTTATTACATTTTTGCGTGGGAAGAAACGGCGCCTTTTGAATGCCAGCCTATCGTGCAATCGTTTAAGGCACGGGAGGTCCTTGCACTTTGGCGAGGAGTATTTTTCTTTAAAAAAAAAAAACTTCGGCAGGCACGGTGTTCCGCTTAATCGTTCGTCGCCTATACTGATGATATTATAATTGCAATATTTTCCTTTCTTCCACCCCTGGAGAAGTAAATGGCAGCTATTGGCAGTGTTGACAGCCTCAGCCAGCACTATTGAGTGTTCAGTGGTGATGGGAACACTTCCCGTGGTCTTCTCTCAGACGTATAAAGATTGTTCCAAAAAGGCCGAGGTCTTCGAAGCTAATTGATCCCTGTAGCGAAACGTAAAACAAATGATGAATTGAGGCTTAATAGGTTTCATACTCAGGTTTCGTTGAGGCAGGCAAAACTCCTTTTCTGCCTCAAGTTACTAGTTCTGTGAGATCTGCAAAATAACCTCTAGTTACATAGATCATCTCTCTTTGGAGTAGGACCTGTTTTCTCAGGTGGTCCCTAAGTTTGTCAGTTGAGCTGCTGTCCTCCTTTCTGTCCAACAGAAAGTGCTAAATGCACAGCCATGAATAAAAAATTACCTACACAAATGCTTATAGCAGCCATTTGGGCCATGAGGTCTTCTGTGTGAAGCTGTGCAGAAGAGTATTGCAGTCTAGTCTGATACTAGCTGTACGTTCTATAGGATCGGAATGACTGTGCCTAGATAAGGAGGCACACATTGTCAACAGAAGCTACAGTACTTTAATATCTACTTGGTCTTTAATTTTGGAGAACCAGTATAACAACATTCCTGATGATTTAGTTAAACTTTACATTGTGATGACTCCTGATCTGTACAAGTGTAAATGAACACTATAAATCCCAATAGTTTGTGAATTTAAACTGGAGTCAAATCGTATAGTACTGTGTAATCCCATTAATTTCCTTTCATTGGTGGCCCTGAACAGCTGCCAGTAAAGATTTTTGCAACCTTATTCCATTCTTGCAGAAGGGCCAGAAGGTTAAAAGTATTGTGGTGCAAAGATAGAAACCATGCAATATTTAAAGAGAGGCTTTCAGTTTGAATTTTGCTCTTGTTTTTATTAATCATAAACATGCTTGTTCAAATAGCTAAAAACAACAAATCATTTTGCAGTATTGTTCTTTCTGACTAACTGGATGGAGAATAATTTATTTAAAAAAACAAAAACCTATCAAACCCTTCTTACTTGGAAGTAGGCTACTCTAGGAATCTGAAAGTGAAACTGGTTATAAATATAAGTGAAACTGACAGATTCTTGTCAAATGCAAAAAAACAAGTCCTGCCTGGTGCAGAAAAACAGTAGCAAAGAGTAATTTCAAAACTTCAGCTTCCATAATTTTAGTATTTTGTCAGCTGGGTGTAAAATGCAACAAAGACTTCTTCACTCATCAGCCTATTTTGCAAGAACTAGATGAATATGACAGGTGAAGACATCAGATATTTTATATTCTTACCATTTTAGTGCTTATATTATTCGGCAATTTTAAAAACTTGTATATTTTAGAAACAGTAATAAAGGATGGCCTACCAGTAATATTTGTAAAAGAATGACAAATATTACCCCCATTTTTATGGAAGTACATGGAAGAGTATGGTACGTCAACCTTGAGGCTCTACTTGCACCCATGGAGGCTTCTGCACGCATAAATTTACAACAGGGAAAAGCCACAAACAGGACTTCCCTAGGGTAGAGTGGAGCAGGGCAGCTGTATAGGTTCTGAACTGTTGAAGGGAAGGAATTAAAGGGGAATAGCCCACAACTAACAGGACCTACCAAAGCCTCGACACTCCTGCTTAAGACTAATCATTCATAAATGAAATATGTTGTTAATTACACCTATCCAAGAAAAAGTATGACAAAAAAAGAAAGACAATGGCCAAAATCCTGTTGCCAGACACAGTAAATCATACAAAAGTAGGCCCATTGAATCAATGGGGATTTGGTAAGCTCTGTAAGTTCCATTGATTCAAACGGGCCTACTCTGTGACTTACTGTGCTAAAGTAAATTGCAGTTAGAATTAGGCTTATTTGAATCAACAGAGTGTATGAAGGAGTTGACTCAACAAATCTCCATTGATCCAGTTGGCCTACTCTGGTGTGATTTACTATGCTCAGCAACTGGATTTTTGCCATTGGTTACTGCATGTGATATAAGCTGTTATCCTCAAGTACTGCTGGAAAGCTACTGAGGACATGCATTTCTCTGTTGTTTGTATTTGAGTTCATAAATGCTATAGAGGCTACAAACAGTGAAGGAAACACCATGGAAAAGAATCACAGGAGCAAAAGAAGAAGAAGACACTCTGTCCCGGTGGAACTACAAAACCACTTTCAGTTACTTGAAGAAGATTCTGTCAGACAGCACAAAGAGGAGACCCTACAGGAGGACATGGGTAGGGCTGAAGCGCAGCTGAATACAGTCGTTGAACCCACACCCTACAAAAAGAAGAAGAGGAGAGAAGTTGTAGTAGGGGACTCCCTGCTACTTGGAATTGAGACCGAAATTTGCCGGGAGGATCCATGGACTCTCCAGGTATGCTGTCTCCCTGGAGGATGGATAAGGGATGTGATGGAAGGATTGCCATCACTCATAAAACCTACAGATACATATCCCTGTCTTCCTGTTCACGTGGGAACAAGCAACACAGCCAAGAGGAGCTACCAAGAAATCATGTCTGACTTTGAAGCTCTGGGGAGGAAACTCAAGAACTTTGGAGCCTGGATAGTTTTTTCTTCCATCCTACCAGTGCTCAAAAAAGGAATTGAAAGAAAAAGGAAGATCCTCTGGGTGAATAACTGGCTATGAAGGTGGTGTTGACGAGAGGGATTTGGTTTTTGGGACCATGTTCTAAGCGTCCTGGAAGAAGGACAGCTAGCAAGAGACGGCTTGCATCTAACAAGGACTGGGAAGAATGTGTTTGCCCACAGCATGAAGAACTTCATCAGGAGAGCTTTAAACTGAATTGGAAGGGGAAGGGAGACACAAGCACAGAGTTAAGGGGAGATGAAGCCTTACACACAATAAGAGGAATGGACCGAACTGATCAAAAGGGCAACAATAATAACATGAACAATAATAATCACAGTAATAAACATAATAATAATGATCACACACTGTTTGGCCTCAGAATGAGATGGGGTGCAAAAGAGGTAGATACTTCCTGGCCTCCATTTCCTGCTCTCTAGCTTCTGGGTGAGCTTCCTGGAATACACATAGAGATAGGAATTGCTTTTTCTGGAGACAATTGTGGTGGGGATGGGAACATAAAGAAAGTGAGAGGAACCCATATTTAAAAAGTGGGAAGTCATCCTGTGGATTGCCAGGAGGAAGTTGAGATGCTGTGTGTACATTGTAGGGAGTTTGGCGTCTTAGACCAGAAGTCGTCAACCCCTGGTCAGAGGCCCGGTGCCGGTCTGCGGCCTGAGCCAGACCAGGCTGTAGAGACAGACCTCCCGCCCCTTGCACGTACTCCCCTCCCCACAGCTGCTTTGCGCACACGTGCCAGTGCGGCGTGAGCACTCCCCCACCCCTTCACACATGCACCTGAGCACCTGTGCAGGCGCTTCTGTGCATGCATGAAGGGGTGGGGGAGCACTCATGACGGTGCTAGTGTGTGCGCGGTCCCCCACCACTTTGCGCATGCGTCCAAGAGCATGCGTGCTTGCGCAAGCGCGGGGGTTGCCCCACCTTACTCAGAGGTTCAGCCGGTCCGTGTGGTCCCAGAAAGTTTGGGGACCGCTGTCTTAGACAGCTTCTCGCAGGAGTGCTTGCAGCTTCTGTGGAACATTTTTCCCCAGATCGTGTTATTGGGTTTAATAGGTTGTGGATGTTACAGGGCTATCTACATGTTGAAAGTGAGCATGTAGCATTTTTATGCCCGTGTATACCTGACTGGCCTGCATAGATTAGCTTCCTCCCTATTTGTGTTGTGTAGGGGATATTTTCTGTCTTACGTTCCGGCTGGTGGGCAGCAGCAGTGCTAAAAAGGGTGCAGGAGGATCAAGTGGAATGTATCCCTCTTGACTTGGGCTCATGTTGATGTAGTGGGACATTTGTGTGGCACCATGTTCTTCTCTGCTGGGCTGAGCATTATTCTGTTACTGGCCTAGGACTGTGGTATGAGATTGAAGTCCTGTGCACCTTTACTTGAGACCATATCCCATTGCATTCTGCTAAATCTGCAACTGAGTAAACATGGACTGGGTAGCATAAGTTCAGAAATTAATCATAACAATAATGATCAGTGTAGTGATGTGGGTGGTGGATGGGGCTGAATGTGCACATTTGATCCAAATGTGTAGAAGTGTGGGTTCTCTGTCTCCCTGTGTCCAAAGAAAGTATAAAAAGCTTGTCTCTACCATGTGAGCAGAAACAAATGGAGGAAAAGCTTGCCACCTTGGGAGACCATTTGTTTCATTTACATCTCATTTCATCCCCAGTGAACTTAAGGAGGTAT